ATTTCATATATCACAATTCATTAATCGATCACAAAATCAAAATTTTTATTCGTCACCTTATTTATCAATCACAAATCAAAAATTTCGTAAGTCACAATCCATTGATTAGGGACAAAATCAAAATTTCTATTGGCCACAACTCATTTGTCGGTCACAAAACAAAAATTTCGCAAGTCACATTTCATTGATTGGTCACAAAATCAAAATTTTTATTGGTCAAAATTAATTTTATAGTCACAACTTTAATAAATTACGAGTCACGATTACATTTTTTAAGTCACATATTATTTATTGAACACAAATTAACTAATTTATGGGTCACAATCAAGTAATTGTTCACAAACACCCCCACGTCCCATCCATCTACCCCGACCACATCAGATTGCAAAATCACCACCACACACCAAACTCCGAAACCAACAACCTCTACCGCGTCCAGAAACCACCACGACCGCCACCTCCAATCACACCAAACAGTTGCACAACACACTGCCGCCACCACCGCCGCACCACCACAATACCAACAACACCTACACCACTACCGCAGCATCACCACAACCACCACTACCGTCCACCGTCACCGTCGTCGCCGCCGCCACGAGTTCCACCATCAATCTCAGTCATTATCACTATAAGCACCATCACCACCATTCGAAATCCACCGCCAACCAACAATCACAAAAATCACCCCAAGACCATCGCCGCAGTAGCGAAGCAGTCGCCGGAAACCATAAAAAATCCAACCATGTCAAAAGAACCCACCTTCCTATCGTGCAATGTTGAAATCGCTACCTACCTTCCTGCAAGCGGCGATATCATATCGCCGTCCACCCTCCTAGGTAGAAGTTGCGCGCTCCTCTTTCTGACAGTGCCAGTCTCTTGCAGTAGCAGAGACCTTTCGACGGCGCTCCTCCTTCAGCGGCACAGCAGGGCTCGCAGTTGGTGGTGGCTCCAGTCCTCTCATTGCAGCGTCAACGTTAGTCTCCTGTAGCTGTGCAGATCTCGCAGTCAGCTACCTTGAGAGAAAGAGAAGGATGGGTATGTAGAGAAAGAAATGTAAGGATATAGCAATTAGGGTTTGTGATGGATTTTGAATTAAACTCTGATTTTTGTATTAACAATCTTGATGACTGTCTGATTTTTGAAATTGAATTTTAAAAATTCTGCCCTGGTGTAATTACCACTAATTAAAATTTGATTTTAATTAAATTTTCTTGCCCCAAATTTTTTCTTAAAATTAGAGTTGGACTCTAACATTTTGTTTAATTAAAATTTGATTTTAATTAAATAAATTCATCCTAAATTTTAGGATTAGAGTTGGACTCTAATCTTGCTATTTAGTTGAAATTTGATTTTGATTAAATTTAACCGTTTTGAGTTTTGAAATTAGAGTTGGACTGTAATTTGATATTTAATTAAAATTTGATTTTAATTAATTAATCCCGCGTTATGATTATGCAATTAGAGTTGGACTCTAATTCGATATTTAATTAAAATTTGATTTTAATCTAATATACCCGCTAATTCAATTAATTTATTAATATGATTAATTAATTATTTAATTGTTCCAATCCATTTGTCTAAAAAGTTTAGATGACATTAATTGCTAGAAATTTGAGATACATTTGTATATAATATTAGATATTATATAGAAATACATTTATGTGATGAATGTATTATTAGTGGATGATTATGGACTCAACCATGTGGATGTGTTGAATAGTTAATTTTATTCTTGATGTTTTATGAGTCTGGGAGTTCTTAATTATTTTGGGCCTGCAAGCCCGTTATTATTGTTATTATTATGGGTCTGTGAGCTCTTAATCACTTTTGGATCTACGAGTCCGTTATTGTTATAATTATTATGGGTCTGTGTGTCAACTAGTATATGATACATGTTGCAGTTGGTCTAATTGAAGATGCAAGAAGAAGAGAAAGCCATGGAAATGGTGCATTGATGCTGATTCAATGCAATACCCCATAGGAATTAACCAATTAGTCTTCTTTATGGCTCGAAAAGACTAGATAGTAAAAATCCATAATCATCTACACACACACATGTGTGTGTGATTATATCGATATTGATGAGACCTATGCATGCAAAAACCCCAATAAAATATTAAATCACATTTTACATTCATCTTCCATCATTATAGTGGAAAATCAGAGTTCTAAATCGATCTCAGCTTGTTGAGTACACTCAAGACTGATCTATTATGGATATGTTTGACACTATAAAATATCAAATATTTCAAAATGATGGGTTCGACTTAACTAAGTTTATCTTTTGTTGAGTACACTCAAAAAGATAAATTTTAGAGGCATGTTAAGATGTGTGAAGACAAGGAATTGTCAGCTTAATGATATGGGAGTTGCATGCAAAACCCCTTAATAAAATATTAAGTCACATTTATATTTGCCACTATGAAATATTAAATATTTCTGAATGATGGGTTCGACTTAACTAAAATTTATCTTTTGTTGAATACACTCAAGGAGATAAATTTTAAAGACATGTTAAGCTAACACATAAAATGTGTGAAGAGTGACTAAAGACAAAGAGTTGTCAGTTTAATGATCTGAGAGTTGTATGGAGATACAATTGATAATAGTATCTACACAAATATTTTATTAAGGCTTGATGAATATACCCAAGGTCTTAATATAACAAATGGAATCCCAGTCCACTGGGAGTCAAGTATGGATTTAGCGTACTTCTTACCGTTGCCTTTAGGTTTATTATTGGAATTAAAGAAATATTGCTTTGTACTCACCATAGCTGGAACATTATAAATTTCATGTTCGGACATGAACTGTTTTAATGTTAAGGACAATTGTTATTCCTGCTTATCTTGATAAAGAACCTAATGGTTATGGTAAATTACAAAACGACGTTTATATTCTTTAATACTGCGGATTCGATAACGAATATAGAAGTTAAAAGGCATAAAAATGATAATCTGAATAATACCTACATTTGACTTTGCAGATTTGGTCATATAGATGAAATGGAATTCCGAAATTACATAAAGACGTATACGTGGAGTCAATTGATTTTGAATCATTTGACAAGTGCAAATCATGCTCGTTAGGTACAATGGCTGAATCTCCTTTTACTTGAAAGGGAGAAATATCTGCATGATTACTGGTCTAATACATAGTGATGTATATGGACCTATGTCAATTAATATCAAATGATGTTTCTTTTATGTCATCAATTATCATGTATACTTGATGTAATTCAAGCCTGAAGTTCTTGAAAGATTCAAGGATTCAAGTTAGAAGAAGAGAAACAAATAGTTGAAGATACTCTCACATTAAGATCCGATCGAAGTGAGAGTATCTTAAATATAAAATTTAGATTATCAAAGAGAGAATGAGATTTTCTTACAGTGGACTCCTCTATATACACAGCAACATAGTGATGTATCTAAAAGGAGGAATCGTTAACTATCAGATATAGTGCGATTAATAACAAGCCATGCAAATCTTCCAAAATCGTTTTGGGGTCATGTACTGATTGCAGTGTACAACACATTAAATCATATCACATTTAAGTTGGTTTAATCGAACTCCATACGAGTTATGGAAAAGTAATAGTCCCAATTTATCTCATATGATAGTTTGGGGCCATGACGCTTATTTGAAGGGCCTTGAATCGGATAAGTTTGAGACTAAATTCGATAAATACATATTTGTGGGATATTCAAAGCTGATATTTGAATATAAATTCTATTATTGTGAAAAAAGTCTTCATTTCACGACATATCGTCTTCTTAGAGAAAATGTTTACTCTAGAGAAGGACAATGGGAGCAAAATAGAATTTGAAAGAGTTCAAGAGTCCACAGATATAGTTAACCAAGTAAATAAATTCGAGTTTGATCCCATATCTGATATAGGACATACTCTTGATCAGGAAGTAGAGACTCCTGATGACATGATAGCTCCATTTAAATTTAGTAGGATCATTCAACCTTAAAGAAGGTACGAATCCACGATTACTAGTTAGGTATTACTAATCCGGGATGATGGATCTACTAATTGCACAAAAATAAAGTCAAGTATTGACTTAAAAGAGATAGCAAAAGGCCATGAAACTCGAGATAAACTCGACGTATGTGAACAAGGTTTGGACCTTGGTCAACCCTCCTGATGGGAGAAAACCCATAGGCTGTAAATTGTTTATAATAAAAGGTTGACATAGATGGAAATGTTCATACATACAAAGTAATGCAAGTAGCAAAAGGTAACAAATAAAGAAAATGTGTTGACCTTGATGAACCTTTTGCTTGTAGCCATGCTGAGGTCCATTCGTATTTTGATTGTAATAGTTGCATACCATGACTATGGGTTAAAACAAATCTCTTGGAGTTGAAATCTTCGATTTGATGAAAAAATCAAAATGTTTGATTTTATCAAATATGAAGACGAATTGTGTGTTTATAAGAAGATAGTGGGAGCATTATCGCATTCCTGATATTGTAGGAAACCATTCCTGATATTGTAGGAAACGACATCCCTATATTTCAATCATTGAAATAATGGTTGTTAAATGATTTATTCATGAACGATATGGGGAAGCAACTTGATCTATAGATTTAGAAGATTACTTAACGCATCCCAATCTATATAGAGAAATTGGTTTACTCTTAAATGGTGTGTTGGAAAGATTCCAAACATGAAATAATTATTGATTTAATAGCGAAAACCTATTACACGATTGCTTCAGAAGCAGTAAAGAGTTGCAATGTAGATCAAGATGTCCATTAATGAACTTGGAGTAGTTCCTAATATTGCTGATTACATACTATTGTATTGTGATATCAATAGAGCCATCGCGAAAGCGAAAGAACTAGGATCTCATCAATAATTCAAACATGTATTAAGGCAGTATAATCTCATCAGAGAGATAATATATAGAAATGACGTAAAGAAAGAACGAATTCCCACATTTGACAATATTGCAGATCCACTGACAAAAAGTTATTGTAGCATAAACATGATCGTTATCCGTCATGTAGACTGTTATGATATAGGATACATAAGTGAGAGTTTGTCAGTGTTATGCCCTAAGTCCAATTAATCTTCGACATAAATACTTTTAATATATATAATTAATGCAATTTAATGGCAGATCTATTATTTAATTAATAGACAATTGAATTAAATAATAGAGTCCGTAGATTCAAATCTTCGTAATTTGTTAATCACAAGGAGTTGTGATTGTGAGATACAAATTATATATGATTGAATCTTAATTGTTCGTGGTCGTAAGTAATAACGAAATACGGATATCGATATTACGGATAGATCATCACGTGTGATATTTCTTACTTGTGAAGTAAGTAGCTGATCTCACAAGCTAAATTGTGGTGACACTTGAATGAAAACGTGGATGTTTTGTTATAAAACAAAATATTGGAGACCCGCTGAGAGATTCCACATAGATAACTATTTGAATGTCAGTGGTTAATCTCCAACGTTTGGTAATGGAATCGGTCATTTGACTTGAGGTTGTCATAGTACCTTATACGAGGACAGTCATGTTTTGACGGTGTTGGATGTTGCTTTGTCAAGAGCCGCTAATACGGCATCGCTCGGGTATGTCAAGAATCGTATGAAGGTTGTGAATGACTAATAGAGGATTCATCATTCTTAGATAGTAAGAGATTATGATCTGCATTTCATTCAATTAAATCGATAGCGAAATTCTTGGCAAAGGTGTACTCATAAATCGAAAAGGAGTTTTCAACTTATATTGACTTAATAGTGGATGAAAGATATGATCAATAATTGAGATTGACACAATTCCATATCTCGTAATTGATTGTATCATATTGACGAAAGATTATAGTTTCACGGTAAACGATCAAATTTGGTTTTGTCATACCACGTGACATTTCTCGTCACATGTATTGCCCTGACACATTGCTAAATGTTAATCTAGGACGACGAGTGTGAATTGGTGATAAATTAAAATGGTGTTTTAATTTATCGATTTTGATTAGATCAAAATAATAATTCACGTCGTTAGACATCGTGATTGGGAACCTGATGGGTCACACACAAAAAGAGAATTTGAAGATTGTGTTTTATCAATTAATTAATTTAACAAGGGTTGTATAAATTAATTCATTGGGTTACTTATTTATTGGCTCGAATTAATTGGATTAATTAATTCAGGGACCAAATTTAATTAAATGGGTTAATTAAATTTGGACTGGGTTAGAAGATGGGTCAAGCCCGTATGGGCTTGCATAAATAAGTGGCTATGGTTTAGGGTTTTGTATAGATTCATTATTCTTGTTAGCACAAGAAGAAAGTCCTAATTCTACAATGTTGTTCTCTGTGTGGATCACCGTTGGATGCTGGACAATGGGACAGCCGTGGGTGACAGATCGAGGTTGCTGGAATCCAAGAAAAGCAAAGGAAATCTCAGATCTAGGAAAATGTATTACTTTTATCATAATTCCTATCTAAACACAAAGAGATACTGGGGTGAGAATTGAAATTGTTTTAATTTTTCACTGTGCATAATAAGCTAATTCCCAACATAGACACGGCAGAATCTTGCAGCAACGTCCTTCTAGAGTCATTGATTTCCCTGTTGAAGGCACCGATGATCCGTTTCTTGTGGGGTAGGCATATATATGATTTCACGTCGTTTCTATCTCTATAAAATATATATGTATGCATGTATGTATATATATTTATTAAAGGTGCAGTATTATATTGTAATAAATTTTGGCCCTTTCTACTCAAACTATTTAATGTGATCTAGAGTTATTGTAATATATTTCTCTATTTGAAAGGGCTTGTTACTAAATCCTATACTTGTAGTCTTGTATGCCCTTTCTAGGTTTTAACCGTGACTTTCTACCATTTTTTGTTGGGCTTACAAATGTAAATACATCGATTGTTAATGAAAAATTTTCCCCTTAATTTCTGTTTGAAATTTTACACAGTATGCTTGTGTTTGGTATCCATTTTTTTCCAATTCTTTCCAAATTTTTTCTCAACAGTTGTGGGCCCCAGTTAGACAACAGGACGGTCAACTGTAAGATTCATTTCAGAACTTTGCACTTGCCAAAAATGCCCTTCTAATAACCTTTGGTGCCTACAGAAAAAAATGGCAGAGGATGTAATTTTCAATTGTTCCTGGGGGCGAAATAGTCCATCGATTTTCAACTGCACTATATTCCTGACAAAATCAGAACCTGCTGTATTTATTTGTCTGGTTGGTACTGTAGCAAAATGAGATTTCAAAAAAAAAAGAGATTAAAATGTGCATCAAACACAAGCTATATCAATTCACTGGTAACAGATTCAGCTTGAGTTCTTTGATCCTTCGACCTCATCGACAACTTCTCTTATATCGTGTTCAGACCAAATGTGTGCTTTGGGAGAAGAGTCTTCTGTTTCTAGCTGTTTAAATCAGAACCAATGTGGTTACAAGTTCCAATATGGTGATCGAAGTGGAGCATCAGGTTATTATGTATCAGACTTGATATATTTCGACACAATTGTTGGCGATTCATCGACTTCAAATTCATCAGCACTTGTTGTTTTTGGGTAACCTCCTTATCTATATGTTTTGTACATTAGAGTGGACAATACTGGACGACAAACAATATTTTTATAAATCTCTTCTTTAATCACGTCTAATCTTGTACTTTCCTGTGCTGTTTTGACACAGTTGTAGCACATCACAGACTGGGGATCTTACTAAATCTGAAAGGGCAGTCGATGGTATATTTGGCTTAGGACAGCAGGGCTTATCTGTGGTTTCACAACTTTTTTCACAGGGAGTTGCCCCTAATGCATTTTCTCATTGCTTGAATGGAGATAATGGTGGAGGTGGTATATTGGTGCTGGGACAGATTGTGGAGCCAAACAGAGTCTACACCCCACTAGTCCCATCACAGTATGTATTCAATCTGTTTGACAATTTTCGTGACTGGCATTAATTTTCAGTTTAATCCCTTGACTATTGGAATCTGATTACGTTTAGTACTTGTTTACTTGAGATCTTGAAAGTTTGATTTTGCTTGCTTGGTGTGATTTCACTGTTAATACTTCTACATGATTGACTTAATTCTTTCAGAGAAAGTTGTATGGACAGATTCTCTTGCACATCATTTATTTGATTTAAATTTTGTGGCCATTTTTTTCTAATATTAAATGTTGGATAGTGAAAAGTAAACAGGCTAGTTGTGGAGTCTTCATGATTTGGTGCCAAGAAACTGTTATGGCTTTGAAGTTTTATCTTTACTTGGGAACTGAGAAACTGGAAAGACAACGAGCCGCACTCAAGTCCTCGAGGTTTTGATTTCTGAAAGCGGGATTATTTGGCTGATTATTCTAAATAGTGGAAAAAGAGAAAATAGAAGGGGGATATTAGTCGCAAATTTATCTCCTTCACTCCTTCCCACTATAACTAGAATGAAAAAGAAGACAGTGAATAAATCAAGAAAGAACAATAAACATGATGTGCTTTACAACTTGGTTTTGATTTAGCAAAGGTACAGCATGATAACAATAAATTTTAGTTTATAAGATATATATTTAGTTTGCTTACGTGCTAAAATGAGCAAATATATTTACAAGTTCTTACGTTTTGGAAAACCTGAGATGCAATCCTTTTCTTTTTGTAGTTTTAACCGTGCATTTATTGCTCAATCTTGATTTTCAATGATTTTATAGTACATATCGGTTGGCTTTGTGGTGCTACTTTTCTTTATTTCAATGTGGCGCAATTATATGTATCACTCAGAACACAGCTAATAGAGTAATGTTGATTTATGCACAATCCCAATTCTCTTGTGGTCAGTTTTTCCTCACGCCTCTCGTGCATGATCAATCCATATGTTTTCTCCCAAAGCACGAGGTACTTCTAGCACATATGGGTTTCTAAAAATTATAATAATGCATTTTTCACTCAAGTGGTTTGGATATATGTAAACCTAGGAAAAATGTGGTAAATGTGTCTTAAAGTCACACTGCTAACCCTAGAGTTTACATCTCAAAGTCTTTAGCCAACACATCTCAATTTTGATTATTTAGATCATTTTTTTACATCTCCTGTACAAGACTTCTCTTTTTAAGCTTTCTAAATGATGCATGTACCCAAATCAAATGACTATATAACACCAAATTTTTAAATACCTTTACAAACTTAATAACTCGAGTCAGAAAGGTTATGATGAGAGGTAGAAGATTTGTCACTTTTCCTTTTAATATGAGAATCTAACTTTTCATTCTTTTTTTTTTTTTTTTTTAATATCTCCAGTGTCTCTGTGGCATTTCCACTGGTTAGTTTAAACTTTGCTGGCAGTGCATCGATGACACTAAAGCCTGAGGATTACCTTTTACAGCAGAACTTAGTTGTAAGTCATGTTTAACATCTGTTTGAATTAATGCCTTAGTTCCCAGAATTTATCACTGATTTTGGCCAGGATGCATGGCCCCTTCTATCCCTCCTTTGATGCAATCTAAATTTGAAAATTGCTGATTTACTGAGAGTTTGTGCTTCACCTGCATTAATTTTCAAGATTCTGGCAAACTCAACAAGTTAGACTGATATCTTTTTCTATCCTCGTTGATGAAATTTGCAAATCTGTCAATGGTCCTACGAGTCTTATTTTAAATTCCAGCTGATGACTTTCTAGTTCCACATCTTTTACAAATCTGGATTGTAGAGAATGCTTAAATGTATTTGACCTTAAATATAAATATAGTAATTTCATTGCTAATAATTTACCATCTGTCTTTGAGATTCTTGTACACACTGTTTATGGGGTAGAGTATTTTTTGTTATGGTATTCTTTTCAACTGAAAGTCTAAAACAGAATATTGTAATTTATTTGCCATTATTTTCTTGTGCAGTTTGAGGCATTGGCTTCAAAAAATTCAAGGTTCGGAAGGAAAACAAAATTGATCTCGGCTTGAGATTCATTTCCAGCATGGAAACACATATAATAGATACATTTTTCTGCTCCCTGCCCTGTTTGCACGAGCACAGATACATATACCTCTATACGCAAGTTACATTCCTACTAGAAATACCTATTTTCAACTTGTCCCTTGTTTTTCTAAATTTCCAGTGGCAAAATTTTCATATTTCCGTTATGTTAAGGGCATTTTGTAGTTGGGTAATTATATTACCACAACAAAATTTAATTCCTAAACCACAAATAAAATATATTTTTAATAAATACACCACTATAAATTTACAATTATACTCCTAATTGAACAAAAACTAAAATAAAAAATAAAAATACAATAATATTGTGGTGTATTTATCATTCTAACTTTACTTCTAATTTTTCTCATCCTCTTCAAACCTCAATCCAAAGAGAATACTCGTTTCAGGCTGATAAGTTTTAGTGAAAACGTTTGGCCAACAGAGGTATATATGTCGACAGAATGCTGCTCAGTTGAAGCCCCTATTAATATGTTCATCACCACAATCTGCAGGTTTCCAAAGGAGAAGCTCCTCCCATTATAAGCCCAATCATGGAACCAGGAAGCCTGCAGATTGGTCCTGTGTTGTCTCGAATCATCTTCTCCGCCTCACCTTTTTTATAAGCCCAGTCATGTGTTGTCTCGAATCACCTTCCAAAGCACAGGACCACTGGCGGCACCACCTTCTCCGCCTCTACCACCTCCACATTTTCACTTTGGTTCTTGGTCCTGTGTTCTAATCAATTTGTAATTACACTTTCCCACTCTTTCTACGTCTATGAGTTTGCCGGCCATCTTTTTCACGTTCTTCTTCTAACTTTCTGGAATAAATTTCCTTCCGCTACTTTAAGAAGTGCTTCCAATCTGGCATCACTTGTGTTTTTGTTTTTTCTTTCCATCTTTTTATACGGTAATCTTTCAGAAACTAATAAGAAGATGAAATTGGTTATTGTGTGCTAGCTTGAATGCTCAATTACGTTTGAAAAAAAAAAGTTTTTTATTTGTGGTGGAATAATAATTTATCTTAATTTTACTCAAGGCTATTTTAGAATATAAGAAAAATGTGGTGTAGTAATTAAATTTTGTAGTGGTAATATAATTACCCTTTGTAGTGTTCATTCATTAGTGTCTTATATTTAATCTTCCCTTTTTCTCTTTGTTTGGTTCATCTTTTTGCAGACCTCCTTATGCAAAATAAGATTGTTGTTTATGATTTGGCTGGTCAACGGATTGGATGGACCGATTATGACTGTAAGATTGATTCCTTCTTCACCTATGTATCAATAGTTTAGGTACAAGATACCTGCTTTCGGAAGGTGTATTCAGTAGCGGGGTAATTGGCACAAAACTTCCCTACCTTTCGAGTCTATTGTGGAAAACGTCCCCACCTTTCATTTTTTGACATTTTTGCTCTTATTTCAACATTTCGTTGAGCAAAACGTCCTTTTCACTGGCTTTGAACGAAAAATGACTATTATACCCTCTTACTTAAAACAGAAAAAAATCAAAAAAGAAAAGAAAAATAAAACATAAATTGCAATCATCTTCCCTAACGTTTTGAAAAAATGTAAATCCCTCCAATAAATTATTAAAATATTAAAAATTAGAAAAATTCTATCTTTCTTCTCTCCTTCTCCCCCACAATTAAACACACACTCAATATATATGGGTAATTATATTACCACTATAAAAATTATTAACTACACCACAATTTCTTTATTTACTTAAATATCCTCAAGTAAAATTACTTATAGGGTTTTAATATACTTTTTAGTTAAATAAATTATTGTTACACCACAAATATAAAACTTAATTTCTTTCTTTCTTTTTCCTCAACATCTCATAATTAGGGTTTTAATAAACTAAAAATGGTGCTAAATCATAGAATAGTATAAACATTTAAAGAGTTCCTCAAATCTTCCTCCATAAAAGTTTGTGTTTCCTCTTCAAATAGGCCCATGAGAATGTCAACCTCATCCTACACCATAGTAATTTGTGATGTGGAATATCTTAACTTGAATACTCAAGAAAATGCAGCAACAAAAGAAGTCCAGAAATCATATGTCCTTGGCCCATCTAAATTACCGTCCAAAATGATGGTAACGTGTTTAGGCGTAAGCTCTGGTTTGAGACCTTCAGGTAATGCCTCTAGGACTTGAATTGACTTTATGGGTGAAAGCTTGCCGGGGAAACACACACACACACAGAGTGAGAGAGAGAGAGAGAGAGAGAGATCCACGAAGGATTTGTAACAAAATCAAAAGAAAAAGAAAGGAGCCAAATTAACCAAGAAATCTCAGAAAATAATAATTTTGAATAATGTCTGTATTCGATCATATATTCCAAGTCTAGGAACTCCAAAAAAATTAGTTGGTTTTAACACAAGAAGATCCTTCACCAAATATCTAGTGTCTTGTGAGTTAGTAGGAAATGTCGCTCTAAACTTTCCACAGCACATGCGTTGAATCCAATTCTTATTCAGTGGAAGAAATTCAATAGCCAGATGAAAAAATCCAGATGAAAAATCTCATCTTTCTTTATAATTAAAGAGCTAATGAATGAGTGAAATCAATACAAATGGAGATCTCACTGATTGCCGGAGTTCATCGGTAATTGAGGGAAAAGAAGAGAGATGAATGGGTTTGCTCAACGACAGGTTCAGATTTTTTTGGCTTTTCTCAAATATACATACAGATATACATGATGAAGATGAATGCTAATATTGGGATGATGATTGATAAATGATAAGTACTTATTTTTATTTGATTAAGAATATAATTGTAAATTGTTGCGGTGGATTTATTAAAAATAGATTTCAATTGTGGTGTGATTATAATGATATATATATATATACATATATATAACGGGAAGAGCAAACGGATTGAGAAAATGGGATTGGCAAACCACAGAGTTCCATCCAAGAGAAGTATAGAAATTGACATAATCCTTCAATTGGCTTTCAGTAATTGAGGATACCCATGCGAAAATCAAAATTATTCCCTTGATTTTTCAACTCTTCAGTACAATTAATGTCCTGACTTCTGACCCAATAAATCCC